CGTGGACAGGTTCTCCAAAGCAGATGCACCGTTTACATTCCCACCAGCGGTGGATCAGGGGCCCGGCTTCCCCACAGCCTCACCAACGGGTGGTGATCAGACTTTCGGATTTGCATTCACCTAGGAGGTGTGAACTCGTATCCCACTGCGGTTTGGCTCCGAATTTCCCTGATGACCAATGATATGGAGCATTTTTTCAGGTGCTTATCCGCCATTTGTATGTACATCTTGGACAAGTACCTATCCAAGTCCTTTGCTCACGTTTACCTTGGATTGTTTGCCTTTCTATTATTGAGTGTTAAGAATTTTATGTATATATTCATATATATTCTTTATATATATTCATATATATAAATTTTTCATATATTCATATATAAATTGTTATGTATATAAAATATTCTTTATTCTTTATACATATTTATATATATATATTTGTATATAAAGAGTTCTTTATATATATTCTGAATCCAAGCCCCTTACCAGGTAACTGATATGCAAGTACTTTCACACTTAGAATGAACTAGAGCAGACAGGTTCCCAGAGCAGAAAGACGGGCCCACGGACAGGAGGGCTGTAACAATCACATCCTAAGGACCTGGTAGCAGATGCCTGTTTCCACTCAAGTGTTTTCATTCTAACACTCCTCTGTTGTGGGCGGACCCCATGAGTTATGCTTAGAAAATAAAGCTCACTGTCAGAAGTGGTACAATTTTTCTGGAGACGAAGCTGGCAATACCTATCACATTTTTAAAAATACGCCAGCCCCTCGCCTTGGAGACATCCTCACCAGGAATTTAGCGCTTGGACGTACTTTTAAAATGCATCAGTATTCACATGTAAGGATGTTCGCCGAAACATTTTGGGTAATAATGGAAACAAGAATGCAGTCAAAGTGCTTATCCCCAAGGGGATGGTAAGTGAATATTTGTGCAGCTACACGGTGAAACAGTATGCACATTCTGAAAGAATGAAACGGAGCTCACCAAAACTAGAGTAAGGTGTGTGCTGACATAGAAAGAGCTCCAGTTTATGCCATGAAATGAAGCGAAGAGCACGACGCAGAACAGTGTGAGCGCTTTGCTTCCTTCTGCGCAAATTCTGCAGAGACTTGAGTGGGTGTGTCTAGGCGGGCAGTGCCTTGTTTCCTGGAAGAAATCATGAACTCTGTCTTCCAGCTGCCTTTGGCAAGAGACCATGGACAAGGGGCAAAGGGTCGTTCACATTTTGTTTTTCCCTCTGGATACATTTAGAATGTTATGATCTGAGATATACATTGTTCTTTGGTTTTTTGTTTTTAATGCCAAAAGATTACCTAAGTGGAGAGATCTGAGCTGTTTTTAATTTTCTTCCTTGCTCTTAACTGTATTTTTAATTTTTAGTTAACCGTTATAAAAGAAAGTTTATGAAATAAATATGTGTATTTTCAAAGTTAAGGCTTGTGAAGTGAAATTTCCAGTTTTCTCAATCCCTTCATGTCACACGCCCCTTGTGGCCACCTGAGCCACCTTCCCCAATCTACCCAAGTCAACACCGAGCAAGCGGGTCACTCCTGGAAGCCTCGGAAGGGAGACGCCCTTCCATCACGGATGTTCAGTGCACCAGAGCGTGCAGTACCTGAAGGTGGATTCATTCTAGAAGCTTGCTACTCAGAGGGTGATCCATAAGCCCACAGCTCCAGCAGCACTCAGGCTCCAAGTTGGAAATGCTCAGCCCCAACTCAGCTACTGCAGAACCTCAGCCCCCACCCTGGTACTGCTGAAGCAGAATCTGCCCTTCGCAGGACTCCCAGGTGACTCCTTAGGAAGTTAAAGTCTCAGAAGCGCTGGACAGCTCAGAAGCTGCCACCTGCAGCCGAGCACTGCGGCCACTGGCCGGCTTCCCTAGCCCGGTCAAGGCAGGACGGGCCTCACCACAGACACCAGCAGTCAGAACTCGGGCTGGGCGATTCTCCCGCGCAGCCTGGTACCGAGAATCCCCAGAACAGCTGACAGCTCCTGCTGATACAACCTCTGTCATGACATCTGGGAGGACCACTCGCTGCTGGAGTTCTTTCCATCTACCAGACACGATGCCGCACGTTTACACAGCTCCTCTTACCTGCCTTCCTGTGAACTTGGCGTTGGCACCTTCATCTCACAGACAAGGGACTGAACCTCAGAGTCTGAGGAGACTGTCCAGCTTCAAACAGAGGGCAAGGGGCAGGGAGCAGATCCCCGCCCCAGGTCTCTAATTTATATGCTCTTTGCTGTAATAAAGCCAAGTGTTTGCTTGTCCTCTCACGAGAATGCGACCATCAAGATGAAGAAGTATGTCATTCAATAGCTCAACACAGGCGCTCCCGAACGCTGAGCAATACTGAGGTCCTCGTTAGCGCGAAGCATTGCAGGCACGCAACAAACGTGGGAGTGGGACACGGCTCGGGACCCAGGAGCTGGTGGCACGGTGGCCCCAGCCCCCCTGGGGACGGCATGGGGAGGAGCTGGGGCCAACTCACATCTGATCTGAAAGTCTGGCCGCGGGTCAGCATCACACAGACATTCCACGTATCTTACCTGCACCCCACAAAGTTTAGGGGCCTCTGCTGTTCACCCAACATCCCCATCAGTTTGGTGAACATGTGACGTGCTCCGGGCCCCCATGCGGGGCATCAGAGACCAGAACACAAGGCAGAGGGTTCAGCTGAGTGACAGTCACGTTCCTCCATCCGTTTCAGCTGCAATGCCCGTCCTCTCCAGTCTGCATAGATTTCTGGGAAGCATAATGTGCCCCTAGAGCCTCTGCAAAAGCAACAATTTTGGTGCCTTAGCACCAAACTGCAACCCAGGTCCTCTGTCCAACAGTGGCGCTATGACCCTCCTCCCTCCACTCCAACACACCCCTCACACCGACACCGGCATCCCACAAAAACCCATGAGCGCTCAGTGAGTTACTCTGATGTTTATTTTAATGCATCTTAGTCCACACAGTTGGTATAAAATCAGAAAAAGCGAAGCAAAAAAAAAGAAAGAAAAAAGGTCTGGTGTCTTAGCATCAGAAGGGCACCGTATATACATCTACAGTTGGTGGCCAGTACGAGTCATTGCCAGACAGTCCTTGGAGGCAGAGGACAGTCTAGACCCAGCCGCGCCCTGGGCACCCACCGCCCCAGGGGGTCTAGAGGCTTGTCCTGGTGCTCCGACCATAAGAAAAAGGTGGGCACGATAAAGCCTGTGGTTTGCTATTTATTTATTATAGTAATAATAGCAGCCTAGCTAGGTACAAACGCAGTTATAAACCATTTATATTACACAGAATTACTCGGGTCTCCATCCGACTTCATGTTGTAAAATTGTTAATTGAATTTCCAGTGAGGAGTTTAGATGATTAGTGATCGTAAGGAATGGTAAATACATAGCACCATTTCATAGGTTTGTTGTCACCGACTTCTCAACTAGACGCGTGACCGGGACACCCCCCCCACCTTCAAGGGCAAGTATCCCAAAGCCACAAGCCGTGGTTCTCCGAGGACTCCAGTTTGGGGCGGCGGGGTGGGGTGGGGGTCTGGCCACGTGCACCAAGGTGGCACACGGAGGCACGGGCCGGGCGCTCAGTGCGCCACGCCCTGGGTCACCGCAGGGAGCGGGCTCTGGGGCCATTCGGGGTTTCTCCCCGCGCTGTGGTTTCCTAAAGGGGGTGGAGTGGGAGGGACGTATCTTCTTCGATTGAAAGGGAAGAGGGCGAGACAGACTTCTTTTATTTCTGGGCCAAACAAAAACGAAAAACAAAACAAAACCGAAAAAAAAACAAAAAACTGAGCCTGATTATACGGTTAGGATGTCAAGTTCCTTAGCTATTTCTTTAAGGTTCAACCCAAGGCTGATGGTCAACATGTAAAGCAAACAATACTATGTACATATATGTAAAAAGTGTTATAAATAGGTTTTATAAACCGTCGATATTATATACATCTTCAATCCACACCGACCACCCCCCGCCCGACTGCTTTCTGTTTGGTTTGGTTTGGGTTTGGGTTTTTGGCTAGCTCTTTTTTCCTTTTCCTTTTCCTTTCCTTCTTCTCCCCGG